CCTTATTCAAATAATTCTTTGCTTTTTGATGGATTAAATCTTTTCTTTCTAAGGATATGTTGATGATATCTAAATTCAAGGTCTAAGATCCGAGGAAAAAAAAAAAAAAAAGAGAAAAAGTGACAAAAGGCACAAAGGAGTTCAAGGTGGGAAGGTTCAATGAAGAAAGGCCATGTTTCTTTTCCCAAACACAAATACCATCCCTAGTTACCCACTTTGAGCCAAAATAAAAGGCAAAGATCATGAATAAAAGCCAAATGATCATTTCTTTGATACCCACATCATGCACCCGAGGAGTGTTGAGTGCAAAGTGAGGGATATGCCATCTTAAGCCAAGTGATTGCCATCATTTAAGAATGCTAAAAGTTCAAAAATCTAAGGATAGAAGGCCATCTTTGATTACCCTAACTCCCAAACACTTAAACTCAAAGAGACTTATCTTTAGTCAACTAATTTGACCCTAAAAATTGTCAACCTTATATACCCATTCTAAAACCCATGAATTTAGTTACATGCTTGGAGCAATTTCTTCTTAAAAAAAATAAAAAAGGTGTGAGGGAAAAACCCAAGAAAATATTCAAAAAAAAAATCTTAAAATAGAGTAAAGATTCTACAAAAAAAAAAGAAAAAGAAAATTGAGTGATGCAGAAGGAAGAAAACCGAAAAAAAGATTTCAAAATAAGTGAAGCTCCTAGCAAAAGCATGTAACTTGGGGGCAAATTGGGAATTTGAGCTTTTAATGACCATTCTTTCAATAACCATACCCCAAACCACATTACAACCCAAAGCAAAAGTCCTTTTTGAAGGTTTTGAAACTTTAGATGTTTTGATTATTACAATCACTAGGTCAAAGATAGCATGGGGTCATTTTGAGCTTAATATCCTTTCTTTCAAATTAACCAAGCCAATGACCACGTTACAAGCCAAAAAAAGTTCTTATTAGAAGATCTAAAAGCTTTTGAAATTCTAATGTGGTTTGAGTGATAAAAATATATGATTGCCTTGAAAAGCTGAGGGCAAATTTTGAAAAATTTGAAGCTGAGCCATTCAAATGATTCAATGATCCATGAGTTGAAGATATCATCTTTATATTTTATGAAAGAAATGATTGTAATTTGTTGAGATAGCAAGGAAAATATTCTTCTCTATCAAGAATTTCAAATCTTTCATCTTTTTGTCAAGAATTCCATATCTTTCATCTTAATCATGTCATCCATTCATACCTATCAATTCCATCTCTCTTTGTTTTTATCATCGTATCCTCACTTGGCATATCATTCATATAGAGTTTCCTCATCCAAAAAATAAAAAATAAAAGTAACTTTTTGTTTTATTCATGTTACTCATAAAGAAAGTAGAGAAAGCTCACATAGAGTTAAAGCAACAAGAATCCTATGAGAAGGAACTTAATTGTTGCCATGCATAATCATTTTAAGCCGTTGACATATGATATATTTAGAAAATTTAGCCATTATTTGTGATATGATTGAGTCAATTATTGATGCGAACATGCAGTACAAACTTCAAACTGAGGGGCTGTAATATCCCAAATTTTCTGAAATTCTAGCATTTAAGTTGAGGACCTTTGTGTGAGAAAATATTATTTTGGGGCTTATTAGCTAAAATATCCAAACTCGAGGGACTTAAAAGAGGAAAGAATTTGGATAAGGATCAGCCAATTTTTTTCCTTCTTTCTTCTTCCTCACCCGCGTGTCTGCTCTTCTTTTCTTCTCCCTGCACCGAACAATAAGAAGCCCAGCCACCAACGCACCTCCCTTTGAGAAACCGGTAAAAGCTTGGGGATTTCTCCTTCTTTTCTTGTTCTAGAACACATATAGAACCCAGAAACTCCCCCCCTCTGCAGAATTTTCAGATCTGCTTTGCTCTGTGTCCTCCATCCGCTGCTCTTGTCGGTTTGTGGGTGAAAATTCCTTTGATTTTTCAGTAAGAACAGCCATTAAATTCTCTGTTTTTCCTTGAATTGGCTTGGGTTTACTCTAATTCCTCTTGGTTTCTCCAATTTTCGGTAGATCCCCCTAAATTTCCCTGCACTTGCCGCCGGCTTCCCCAATCTGCAGCTTCGGTTTCTGCTGGCTGGAATTGTGGTATGGACAGCTCCTCCAAGTCAAATTTATCAATTAATTGCTGCTTGTGTTGTTGAATTTAAATCATCTAGTGGTTGCTCCTGCAGTGTCCGAATTTTGCTGGAAAAATGGGGGGAATTTCGGTAGCTTTAAGTGGGTTTTTGTTTAATTTAAGTGGAAGTGAGCTTGAGTAGTTGCTGTAAATTTCTGGAAAAAAAAAAAAAAGAGTAATTCCGTGATTTGTTGATTGCTAAAGCCGGTTCCTCCATTGTGTTTTTAGCTAAATATATATATATGTGTGTATTTGTATATATATATATATGTATATGTGCACAACCTGATTTTAGTGCTCAATTTTTGGAAAGTAGGAAATAAAATAAAATAAGGAAATAAATATTGCATTATGGGAGTTAATTACCGGCAATATTTGAAAGGATTAACTATGTAGTTTTCATATGGGTATTAATTTTTGAATGTTTGATTAGTTTCGTGAGTGTTCTGTCACCTGAGTACTTGGCTTGAGTTCTGGATTTAAGGTAAGTAAATTATGGTAACGCCCTTCGATTTTAAAAGTATATTTTAACTTGTTTTTGAAGTGGTGGCGGGACTAAACCCGTTTTATACAAAAATGAGCATGATTGATTTGAAATAAGATTATTATTCTTTTTATTGATTTGAGTATGCTTGCTTGGAGTTTATTTAACTGCCCTGATGATCTGAAAATTATCTGTAAAATATGATTTTCTGTTAACTTTTACCTGTTTTGTCTCCGATATAGTCATGTTATTCGTGTGCCCGCTAGTGGGAGGTTTATAAACGCTAGCACATGTCGACATGTTACTGATAGAACCAGTTCGTTTCTGTTATCCTGCTAGTGGGATTATACACTAATAAATCGTGTGCCTGTCAGTGGGAGGTTTATAACACTGGCCATGACCTATGGAGGAGACGTCTATTTCGTTTCTGTACTCGTACTTGTTTTTCGTGATTATACTTGTTGGCATGCTATAAGTTAATTAAGGGCTATCCATATTTACTTACTGAGTTATCTCATAGTTTTTCCTTGTCCACCATTTCAAGAAGCGAAGTCAAGGACGGGGAAAAATGAGGGGAGTGACGAGTTAGAAGGCTAGCTATCTTGTAAATTGAACATAGATTTTAGATATAAATCATGATCTTGTAAGCTAGACTTCATTTGGAGATTTTATGATATCATAGCAAATTTTATAATTTTATCTTTAGATTTTGTGGTATCAGATTGTGGTATGATAAGTTCCGAGCCTTGTGCATTTGTGGGACCCTCTCACAAGTGTACGATGTCTGCCACGTCTCCGGATTTGGGTTCTTGGGCGTGACAGATTTAGTGGTATCAGAGCTTAGGTTTAAATTAAAAGCTTAGGATTAAATTAAGCACCTCCAGATTGAGTGGTATCAAAGTTTAAGTTTAATTAAATACCTAGGTTTAATTGAATACCTAGGATTTGTTTAGAACTTGGCTGGCCAATGGATTTTAGAACCGTGGTGAGACGAGTGATGGGGTTATATAAGGGACGATTCTGATTCATGTTGCTTGAATTTTCTAATTCATTTTGATGAGATGGTAATCTAATTGTTCTTGTTTCCTGCCTTCATACCCTGTGTAGATTCATGAAATTAATCTTGTCCATCATGTTCTTAAGGCCTTGTTTTAAAACCTGGTCATTTTCTGATAGTCTGCACTTGTTTAGACTTGTTACTTGAATAGAATTTTTGTATGCTCTTTTGCCACAATTGTAAAATCTGGGGAGTTGCAGAGATCTTTTGTTATTGATCTTGTTGGTCTCTACAGCATAGCTAGTTAAGAAATTTGTTCTGTTTGTCACATGACTAGTGGAAGATGGGCAACCCTCTACTTAGTAAGAGATTCAAGGCTATTTTAGCAAATGTTGTGTGTTTTCTAGACGCGTTTTAAGAGCTAGATAACTTGGTAATTTCGCTGCTCATTATCTTTCTAAAAGTCTTATAGTGAAGTTTCACTTTTTCCATTTGGAGCTTCATGGTCTTTTCATGTGGCTCATTTTTCTATATTGGTTAATCAAAAATAGTGATCATTCAATTGAAATTGCCATGTTTTTGTGAAGATTGGCAAGTTGTCATAAAGTTAAACTCTCTATTGTTGCTAATCTCTATATTCTTGATACCTGGAAATTGCTTAAAACTCTCAAGATCCATCTTGAATCTTTCTTGAGATTGCTTTCTACTTGTTCTTGAAACTGAAATCCAAAGGAAATGGATAATGATTATTGAAATCCTCATTATCTTGATACTTGTCTGAAATTATTTCTTGCACTGTTCTTGGAATCTTATCTCGAACCTTGCCTGGAGTAAAGTCATGTTAGCATCCTTTTCTTGAAAATCAATTGATAATTGGTTTTTGGAATCTATTTTGAATTGTGATGGGAATCAAGATGACAGCATATTTACTACGTCATGTGATCCATTACACACCCAAGGAGGTCCAGTCACGCGAGTTAGAGCTAAGAAGATGCGTGAAGTTTTAAATGGTCTTATTGAGCAGATCTAGGTTGAAAACAACATACAACAAGCAAATCGAAGCTTGGATGATTATCAAGGCATGGTAAACATCATTCAGGTTCAAGAGAAACTTAGTTGAGGTCATTTGCACGGAATTACACAGTTTGCGTCAAAATCGCACAGTTCTACCGCAATTTGTAGCAAACTAATATTTTGTGTTATTTTATGTTATTTTTAGTGATTTTCACTTTTTTTGTATTATTTTTAGGCTGAACATTCGCTTATTTGAAGCCCAATTCGTGGTTATTAGGTTTAGGACTTAGGGTGTTAATTTCCTATTCTGATTAGGATTTGTTTTCTCTATTTAAAAGGCTTGTAACCCTAATGGGGAGGGAGGCTATTGAATCTGAGATTTTGAGAGACTTTTCTTTTTGGTTCGTTTCAGAACTTTATAGAACTTATCAAGATTATTCTTGTGGCGTTCTAACCTGACTTATCATTCTCGTTCTTAATCGCTCGAGGGTGTGGCGTCAACCAACTTTATACCTCTAGTTCTTGTTGCGTCATAGACAACGGGTCAAGGTTTTTACCTTTGGTTCTTGTTGCGACATAAACAATGGGTCAAGGTCTTATTATAAACCTGATTTAGCTTTCCTAGAGTTTAGAAATCCCTTGTCGTGCTGTGGGTCTCATTGTTCTCTTTGGGGTTCTCATCAAATTGTCCTTGAAAACCATTCTTGTCCTAACCCTCGCTCTTGCTCAAATCCTATATACTGCTCTTGCTCAAATCCTATATACTGCTCTTGCTCAAATCCTGAATATTCTGCTGGTTCTTGTTTTAGTATACCTGTTGATCTTCTTGATTTTTGATTATGTTCATATGGACACCTCTTTAGGAGGGGTGATGATTATTAGAAAATACTTATATGAGGCATCCTAATTCTTGTCTCCTACAAGTGTTAATCTCTGTATCCTTGATGTCTTAGCTTTGACTTGACTCTAGGATGTCTAGGATGACTTGATTGTAAATCTGCTTAGCCTCCATGGGCTATGAGGTGAAAGGGTAGTTTTTGAAGTACCTGATGCCCTAGAGTTTTGTGCCAAGAGAAATGGTTTTTTTATCTAGCTGTTTTGATTTTTGTTTGCCCTTCTAATTAGAAGATAGTAATCTTCTAAGTGTCGTAATCCCTACTAATGATTGTTTTGTTAATTAATTCGTGTTACTTGGGGTGCTAGATCTTGACATCCTGACTATATTTGCTCTTGAATCCGTGTTCTAGTTGTCATTATTGAAATCTCTTTTGTGGGCCTAATCTTTGAATTCTATTGCTTGTTTCATGGTTAACTCTTGTCTCTCAAATTTAACTTCAATCTTCTTTATCAAGTAAAAAGTTTATCAAAAAATACATATTTCAAATATTTTGAAATTGACTTATCCCTAAATATTTTTAAAACTCTAACAACAAAATATTTCAAAATAAGACAAAAGATCATAATTAGGAAAAAAATAAATTGATAGTTATAATCAAATACCTATTAATATTGTGAAAAAGCATCCAAGTAGCTATATCCTACATCCAAATTTTAAATTAACAAATCTATAAAACAAAACAACAATGAAGAAATCTCTCACTTATAGCAATTGTTGATGATTGTAAAAGAAATCTTCAAAAGAATGTAAAGCCAAGGCATGAAAAACCCAAACAGTAAAGCCTTTTTTTTTTTTTTTTGCTTATTTATACTGCAGTTTGTAATGTATTCTTGAAAATTTAGATGAACTCACCTTTTCATCTATCAGGAAAAATTAATTAGCATGCTAAACTCCAAAGATAAGAAAACTATTACAATTGATTCAAAATTAATTTAATTGTTCTTGGTAACCCTTCAAATTCCATTTATATAAAATGGCCTTTTCTCTTTTCTTATTATTAGCAAAATAAAGTATAATATCATATTTAATTTAATAGTCTTTAATTTCTCACAGTGTAAATTGATATTTCATGTTACTTTAGGTTACTTGCAGTGATTTTCACGTTTTTTGTATTATTTTGGGCTGAACATTCATTTATTTAAAGCCCAATTCGTGGTTGTTAGGATTAGCATTTAGGGTGTTAGTTTCCTATTCTGATTAGAATTACTTTTCCCTATTTAAACGGCTTGTAACCCTAATTAAGGGGAGCTATTGAATTTGAGCTTTTGAGAGACTTTTCTCTTTGGTTCGTTTCAGAACTTTACAGAACTTAGCAAGATTATTCTTGTGGCGTTCCAACCTGACTGATCATTCTCGTTCTTAATTGTTCGAGGGTGTGGCGTCAACCAACTTTATACCTCTAGGTCTTATTGCGTCATAGACAGCGAGTCAAGGTTTTTACCTTTGGTTCTTGTTGCGACATCAATAACGGGTCAAGGTCCTATTATAAACCTGATTTGGCTTTCCTGGAATTTAGAAATCCCTTGTCGTGTTGTGGGTCTCATTGTTCTCTTTGGGGCTCTCATCAATAACTCATAAAATTACCATCTTATTATCTAAAACAATTTCTATAGTCAGATGGTTTTGTCATGTTACCAACTAAAAACATCCCATAATCCACATATATACATTTAATCTTCCAATCTTCTTTATCAAGTGAAAGTTCATCAAGAAATACATATCCATATATTTTGTAATTGATTTGCCCCTAGATATTTTTGAAATTTTAGCAGCAAAGCATCTCAAAATAAAAGAAAAGATGTGACATAATTAGGGGAAAAGAATTTGATGAGAACCCCATAGAGAACAATGAGACCCATAGCACGACAAGGGATTTCTAAACTCTAGGAAAGCTAAATCAAGTTTATAATAGGAGCTTGACCCGTAGTTTATATTGCAACAAGAACCAAAGGTACAAACCTTGACCCCTTGTCTATGACGCAACAAGAACCAGGGGTATAAAATTGGTTGACACCATACTGATGGGAATCAAGATGACCCCACATGTACCATGTCAAGAGATCCATTACACATTCCAGGAGGTCCAATCACAAGAGCTAGAGCTAGAAAGATGCAAGAAGCTTTAAATGGCCTTATTGAATAGATCTGGGTTGATAACAACATGCGAGAAGTAAATCAAAGCTTGGATGATTATCAAGGCATGATAAACATCATTCAGGTTGAAGAGAAGCTTAATGGATGTCATTTATGCTGAATTACACAGTTTGCATCAATCTCGCAATTCTGTAGCAATTTGTAACAAACTGATATTTCATATTACTTTAGGTTACTTTTAGTGATTTTCATGTTTTTTATATTATTTTGGGCTGAACATTCATTTATTTAAGGCCCAATTCGTGGTTATTATGATTAGGTGATGAGAACCCCAAAGAGAACAATGAGACCCACAACACGACAAGGGATTTCTAAACTCCAGGAAAGCTAAATCAGGTTTATAATAGGACTTGACCTGTTGTTTATGTCGCAACAAGAATCAAAGGTAAAAAAAAAACCTTGACCCGTTGTCTATGACACAACAAGAACCAGATGTATAAAGTTGGTTGATGCCACATCCTCGAACGATTAAGAATGAGAATGATAGGTCAGGTTAAAATGCCACAAGAATAATCTTGATAAGTTTTGTAAAGTTTTGAAACGAACCAAAGAGAAAAGTCTCTCAAAAAACTCAAATTCAATAGCTCCCCCCAATTAGGGTTACAAGCCCTTTAAATAGGGAAAAGTAATTCTAATCAAAATAGGAAACTAACACCCTAAACCCTAATCTAACAACCACGAATTGGGCCTCAAATAAATGAATGTTCAGCCCAAAATAATACAAAAAACGTGAAAATCACTGAAAGTAACCTAAAGTAACATGAAATATTAGTTTGTTACAAATTGCGATAGAATTGCAGGTTTTTAACACAAACTGTGTAATTTAGCATAAATGACCTCAATTAAGTTTCTCTTGAATCTGAATGATGTTTACCATGCCTTGATAATCATCCAAGCTTTGATTTACTTGTTGCATGTTGTTATCAACCCATATCTGCTCAATAAGGCCATTTAAAGCTTCTCGCATCTTCCTAGCTCTAGCTCTCGTGACTGGACCTCTTGGAATGTGTAATGGATCTCTTGACGTATTAGATATGCTGTCGTCTTGATTCCCATCATTCCCTCTCTCCTCAAAAGGATTTGTCCTCAAATCGTCACCTACATCAAAAGGAGAAAGATCAAAAACATTAAAAGTAGCACTAACATTACACTCACCGGGAAGCTCCAACTTGTATGCGTTGTCGTTTATCCTTGCAATCACTTGAAATGGTCCATCGCCTCTTGGTTGTAACTTAGAATGCCTTTGTGCAGGGAATCGCTCCTTCCGCATATGCACCCAAACCCAATTCCAGGTTCAAACACAACTTTTTTGCGCCCTTTAATGGCTTGATTTGCACATTGCTCAGTTCATCACTCTATGTTTTGTCACACCCCCCTCTCATGTAGTTGCTTAACCACTTCAGCTTTCCTTTTTCCCATCCAAACTAACTCATTCATCAATGGGTAATGGCAATAAATCCAAAAGGGTGAGTGGATTAAACCAATACACAACTTCAAATGGTGAACAGTTAGTTGCTGAATGGACGCTCCGATTATAAGCAAATTCAACATGCGGCAAACATTCTTGCCAATTCTTCAAGTTTTTTTGAATAATAGAACGCAATAAGGCTGACAACGTCCTATTAACTACTTCTGTTTGTCCATCAAATTGTGGATGACATGTAGTTGAAAACAACAGCTTAGTTCCCAACTTTCCCCACAAGGTCTTCTAAAAGTAACTCAAGAACTTAACATCACGATCAGAAACAATAGTCCTTGGAACATCATGTAAACGAACAACCTCCTTGAAGAACAGATCAGCAATATTAGTTGCATCATCAGTTTTATGACATGGAATGAAGTGTGCCATCTTCGAGAACCTATCAACAACAACAAAAATAGAATCACAGCCTCCTTTTTGACCTTGGTAAGCCCAGAACAAAATCCATAGAGATATCAACCCAAGGTTCAGTAGGTATGGTTAAGGGAGTATACAAACTATGTGGTAAAACTCTAGATTTTGCTTGTTTACATGCTACACACCTTTCACACATCCTTTCAACATCATGTTTCATATGTGGCCAAAAGAAGTGATCATTCAGAATATCTAAAGTTTTCCTAACTCCAAAATGTCCCATTAAGCCACCCGCATGTGATTCCCTTATTACCAATTCTCTTAATGAACAGTTAGGCACACATAATCGATTTTCTCTAAATAAGAACCCATCATGCCTATAAAACTTATCAGAAGCTGCCTTCTCACATGCATTAAACACGTTAGCAAAATCTGGATCATTGGCATATAATTCTTTAATGTGCTCAAATCCCAATAGCTTTGCACTTAGAGTAGAGATAAGTGTGTACCTGCGAGATAATGCATCAGCCACAATGTTTTCTTTACCTTGCTTGTACTTGATCATATAGGGAAATGTCTCAAGGAATTCCACCCACTTAGCATGTCGTCTATTCAACTTACCTTGTCCCTTGAGGTGCTTCAATGACACATGATCAGTATGTATCACAAACTCCTTAGGCCAAAGATAATGCTGCCATGTTTTTGAGGCCCTTACCAATGCATACATCTCTTTGTCATATGTAGGATAGTTAAGCACTGCACCAGTCAATTTTTCATTGAAAAACGCAATAGGCCATTGCTCTTGCATCAAAACAACGCCAATGCCAATACCTGATGCATCACATTTAATTTCAAAAGTTTTAGTAAAATCAGGTAAAGCAAGTAATGGTGCAGAAATTAAGTTCTCCTTAATCAAATTGAAAGCATTCTCCTGTTCACTTTCCCACTTAAATCCAACACTTTTTTTCACGATTTCAGTCAATGGAGCTGCAATTGTGCTGAAGTCCTTGATGAATCTCTGGTAGAAACTTGCCAAACCATGAAAACTCTGCACCTCAAAAATATTCTTAGGTGTTGGCCATTCTTTAATAGCCTTAATCTTTTCTTCCTCTATGCAATTCCATTAGCTGAAACAACATACCCTAAAAAGACAATCTGATTTGTGCCAAAGGAACACTTTTTAAGGTTAGCAAACAACTTTTCTTTTCTCAAAACCTCTAATACCATTCGCAGATGCTCAATATGATTAGTTAAACTCTTACTATATATCAGAATGTCATCAAAATAGACAACCACAAATTTGCCAATGAAAGCATGCAAAACATGAATGTACTAGATGCATTAGTTAATCCAAATGGCATAACTAACCACTCATATAAACCATGTTTTGTTTTAACGGCTGTTTTCCATTCATCACCTTCCTCCATCCTAATCGGATGATACTCACTTTTTAAATCAATTTTAGTGAATATGCAAGAACCATGCAGTTCATCTAACATGTCATCTAATCTAGGAATAGGGTGACGATACTTTACAGTGATTTTGTTGACAGTGCAACAATCAATGCACATACGCCAAGTCCCGTCCTTCTTAGGCACAAATAGCACTGGAACTGCACATGGACTCATGCTTTCTCTCACATGCCCCTTCTTCATGAGTTCTTCAACCTGCTTTTGAAGTTCTTTCGTCTCATTGGGGTTGCTTCGATATGCTGGTCGGTTTGGAATTGTTGCACTTGGAATAAAGTCAATCTGATGCTCAATTCCTCTTATTGGTGGTAAACCATTAGGGATGTCCTCTGGAGACATGTCCTTGAAGTCCTGCTAAAAAGATTTAACAACACTAGGCAAAGAATCATTAAGTTCGTTCGTGTTGAAATAAGCATCTTTATACAGAAGCACAAACATAGGCTGCTTTGCAAAGAACGCAGCCTTAACATCACTTTCTTTTGCATAAACACTCACTGATTTTCTCTCTTTGTTTTCAACACTCTCAATCTTTTCTCTCTTTTTGGACTCTTTTTCTACTGTTTTCTCTTTGTTTTTCACACGCTCACTCACATTTCTCAGCTCACTCTCTTT